TCGGAGGGTCAGTGCTGAGGGAGCGCCACACTGTCACATATTGGTTGCTGTGTTACCTACCTTACACCAGTAACTATACTTCCATAGATTGATGACACTGTGGGATGGGATGTCCTGCAGAGGTGCTTTATAAATGCAGGTCTATATTGTGAGGGATTGTGCAGTTTGGCCCCATGCTTTTGGAACATGTCAGTCCATCATTTATGTTCATTATCCCTCTCTTCCCCTGGTTCCTGGGTTCAATTCCCAAAGTTTTTACCCACAGGCAGGGAGCTTTTCCCATGTCACTGCAACTTCACTTATTAAAAACCGAGAGAACTGTGGATGCTGTAAATCAGGAACAAAAACAGAAGTTGCTGGAAAAGCTCAGCAGGTCCGGCAGCATCTGTGAAGGAGAAAACAGAGTTAACGTTTTGGGTCAGTTCTGAGGAAGGGTCACTGGAGCTGAAACATTAACTCTGTTTGTTTCCTTCACAGATGCTGCCAGACCTGCTGAGCTTTTCCAGCAACTTCTGTTTTTGTTCCCCTTCGCTTATTCCCTACTTTCCACAGTTTATGGGATGTATTGCTTTTTTTGTCAAGGTGACACCATGACAGCAGACTGTGGTTTGGAAATGTGAATATGGGTGCCCTCAGTAACATGATCACAATCCTCAGCAATAATCAGCTGAGAAACACACATCACACACACTCACTTCTGAGTGAAACTATTCTTGAGCTCTCTGCTCCCCGTCAATCTCAAAATCCTCATGATTGCCACTCCTTCTACATGTCATTGTCCCTTTGCCTATAGGAGACTCTCTCCCATTGTCCCTGTCTATCACTGAGTCTTTCTTTCCCCTCTCTCTCTGTGTTTGTCTGGCTCTGTGTCTCTGTGTGTATGTGTCTCTGTTTCTCTGTGCATCTCTCATCCTGTGTTTTTCTCTCTCTCTCTGTCTCACTTTCTGTGTGTGTCTCTCTCTCTCTCTTTCTATGTGACTTGTTCTGTCTTTCTGTCTCTGCCTCTGTTTGTATTTTTCTCTCTCATTCCATTTCTTTACGTCTCTCTCTCTTTCTCTATCTCCCTCCTTCTGAATTCCTCTGTGCAGCTTTCTTTGTATCTCTCCCCTTCTCTCTCTCTCTCTCTCTCGTGTTTCTCTCCCTGTCTCCCTCTCTGTCAATTTCTCTCTCTTGCTCCGTCCCTCTCTCCCTGTCTTCCCTTGTTTCACCCTGCCTCCCCCTTTCCCTCCCTTCCGCTCTCCCTCTCTCTCTCTCTCTCCCCATCCCTCTTTCCGTCCCCCTCTCTCCCTCTTTCTCTCCCACTTTCTCTCCAACTCTGCCTCTCCCTCCCCCTCTTTCCCCCACTTACCCCTCTCCCTCATTCCCTCTCTCCTCCTCCCTCTCTCTTCCCTCTTCTCTCCATCTCCTCTCTCTCCCCAGCCTACCCGTTTCTCTCCCTCTCCTTCTCTCTCCCCCGCCTGCCCCTCTCTCTCTCCCTCCCAGGGGTGACATGGGGCTGTTTGAACAGCTGTGCTACTGAAGCTGATGTGAAGGTTTGGATGGTTTTTACATTTTTTTAGGAGGCTGTAAACGAAACAATTCCCAGAGAATCTCCAGGCCTCCCTTTCTGGAATGTTTCTCCATCTGGGATTGATTTTCTTTCAAAAAGAATTATTGAAGGAGCATATTTTAGAGTGGTGTTGCTTTGCACATGTTCATTTGGTCATTCTGTCTCCCATCTCTTCTCTGTCTCTCTCCCTCTCTCTTAAAGTTTCACATTCCCCTCTTCCCCCTCTCTCTTTCTGCCTGTCTCTCTCTCTCTGTTTTTAAGTTTCACATTCCCCTGTTCCCTCTCTCTCTCTTTCTGCCTGTTTCTCCCTCTCTCTCTTTTTTAAGTTTCACATTCCCCTCTTCCCTCTCTCTCTCTTTCTGCCTGTTTCTCTCTCTCTCTCTCTCTCTCGCTGTCTTGCTCTCTCTCTCTGTCTCCTCTGCACCTTGCCCTGTGAGCCTGACACTCGTGAAATCAGGGACGCGGGATCCTGGTTGGGATAGGAACCTGTTGTTTTACTGACACTGAGGCACCAAGCAGAGCCACAAAGAAATGGGAAAATCCAAACCTGCGAGCGATTAATGTTTTGGAAAGGAACTGTGTGTGAAGGAGCATGGAAATGAATCATTTGGCTTCAGATCAATGCAGCCCCTGGGAGTGCAGTTTGGAGTATTCAGCATTAACTCTTTCTCAAATAGCATGCTGTGTACGCAGCGTACTTAAAGGGGAGGGCTCTAGGAATGTTTTCCAAATCTCCGCTCCTTCTATCTCCAACGCTCAGTAGCAGCAGTGTGCACTACCTACAAGAAATTCCCCAAAGATCCTCAGACAGCACCTTCCAAACCCACGACCACTTCCATCTAGAAGGACAAGGGCAGCAGATACATGGGAACACCAGCACCCTGCAAGTTCTCCTCCAAACCCCTCACCATCCTGACTTGGAAATACATCGCTGTTGCCTCACGGTCGCTGGGTCAAAATCCCGGAATTCCCTCCCTAACTCCACACGGTCTGCAGCAGTTCAAGAGGGCAGCTCACCACCACCTTCTCAAGGGGGCAATTAGGGATCGGGAACAAATGCCAAGTCATAGCTGTACTCCCATGACTTTTCTTTTCAACATGTGATGTGGAGTTTCCCACCTGCCTGGGGTTTGATGATTTCCAGGAGGACAGTGAGAGTGTGGTTTATGAGTTTTAATGTACACAATGTTGTATGTGTGTTTTATTTTTGAAAGGGAACCTTTAGAATTCTCTTAGCAAACATTTCTCTCGTGTCTTGTGATTTACAGTGAAGACCTCTCCGTGTGTAAACATTCAACATTTAAGCACATTTTGTTTTCAGCTTACAGTCCCCTTGCTGTGCTGAGGAAGAGGTGAGCAGTGTGGGACTGACTGATCTGCTCATTTCTAGTTTGTGCTGGTTACTGATTATGTTTGGACATTCGTAACCTTGCCTGGTTAAAACATGGGGTTCAAATCCCACCATGGAGGAATTTAAATTCAATTAATTCATCTGGAATAAATTTGTTAGTCTCGTTAATCATTATAAAGCTGCCAGATTCTTGTCTTTAAAAAGAAAACCCATCTGGTTCACTAATTGCCCTTTAGGGAGGGTAAATCTGCCGTCCTTACCCAGTTTGGGCCTACACATGGCTCGAGACCCATACCCATGTGGTTTACTTGTAACCACCCTCTAAAATTGGCCCTAGCAACCATTCAGTTCAAAGGTAGTTGGGAGATGGGACTTAAATGGCTTCGCCCATATCCCAGGAAAGAATTAAAACAAATAAAGTTTGTGGGTGGTGGTGGGGGGAACAGTTTGGGAGTGGGAAGGATGTTAGGCAGGAGTCGGGGGTGTCAGGTTTCCAATCTCTGCTGGGTGAGCTTTTTAGGGACAAGGCCGGGAGTGGAGTCATGACCTTTGGCTAAGGAGGAGGTGAAAGTGCGTTCCTCAGTCTTCCGTGTGCTCTCCAGTGCTCCCTGATGGTCAATGTATGAACATGGCTGGGGGAAATTGGCTGTGACACTCTCCACCAAGAGCTGTGAAGACTTGGCTTACCTCCATCTAGGCGGCCATCTTGGACGAGAACTGCTGGTGGGGCACAACCCGGGGGGCCATCCGTGTTTCACCACAGGGTGCCTTCCCCTGGGAGAGGATGTTGATGCCCAGACACACGGCACCAGCTGTAGCTTGGACTCAGCCATTCCCTACAACGAAGAGGCCCCCCCCGCCAGTGGTGTTGAAATAACTATTAGCTCGAGAAATATTGGGTTATTGGCATCAAATGCACAGCATGAGAAACACGCGATAGAGTTTTTAACAGCTCGGAAAGAGGTTCGTTGGCCCATCGTGTCTGTGCTGGTCATCAAACATTCTATAATCCCACTTTCTGGGTGGCACAGTGGCTCAGTGGTTAGCACTGCTGCCTCACAGCACCAGGGACCCGGGTTCAATCCCAGCCTCGGGTGACTGTCTGTGTGGAGTTTGCACATTCTCCCCATGTCTGCGTGGGTTCCCTCCGGGTGCTCTGGTTTCCTCCCACAGTCCAAAGATGTGCAGGTTAGGGTGGATTGGCCATGGGATAATGCAGGGTTACATGGATAGGGTAAGGGGGAGAGTGGTTGGGTCTGTGCGGGGTGCTTTTCAGAAGGTTGGTATAGACTCAATAGGCCGAGTGGCCTGCATCTATGCTGTAGGGATTCTATGATTCCCAGAATGCTCTGGTGTTTCAAGCGCTCGTCCAAAATGTTTCCCTGTCTCTAGCCCCCACCCCCTTTCAAGTTGTGAGTTCCAGACCCCCATCACCCTCTGAGCGAGAAAGTCTTCCCTCTAAAACCAACCCTCCCTCCCTGGCTCCTTACTTTAAAATGGTGCCCCCTATCCTTGACTCCTCCACTAAAGAGGGAAAGCTTTCTCCCTATTGACTCTGTCTGTGCCCCTCAATCACCCCACCACCCCACCCTCCCTCTCCACCAGTGTTGCTGGGACTGAACAGGAGAAGTGGCATCTGGGTTAATTGTGGCTTTTTTCTCTTTCTCTCTCTCCGTCCCCAACGTTGTGCAGGGAGAGGGGCCTCACCATGAACAAGCTGAGACAGAGCCTGCGGCGGAAGAAACAGCCGTATGTTCCTGAGGCCAGTCGGCCCCACCAGTGGCAGGCAGATGAGGAAGCCGTTCGAAAGGGCAAGTGCAGTTTCCCAGTCAGGGTGAGTACGACCGATCCACGGAGGTGGGGGGAACACAAAACCACAAAGTGTTTCGCCAAACTTGTAATCCGACAAAACATTTTGCGCGAGCAATCATGCCAAGGGCAGGCAGCTGACCACAGGCTGCAGAAGCAGGAGTAGGCCTCAAGCCTGCGCTGCCATTTGTTCTCAAAAACTCACACGACGCCAGGTTACAGTCCAACAGGTTTGTTTGAAAACGCAAGCTTTCGGAGCTCAGCTCCTTCCTCAGGCGTAGTGTGAGAGAGAGGGTGTAAGACACAGAATTTATTAGCAGAAAGGTAACAACCCTAAAACTGGCCACCTCTTGTTGAATCTTTAATCAGTTAGGAAGGAGACTACTGACTCAAATGCAAAATCCAGATTCCTCTCAAGTTGTTGTCCCGGGATAATTAAAAGTTTTTTTAATGTATTTAAGAGGCAACATCTCGGGTCAGGCAATGCAGTTTAGCTGTGAGGTCTTGCTTAGAATCTGTATATGTTTTAAACTGGGGCCAGGTTTTTTTTGAGCAAAACAGAATGTATCTGCAACAAACATCTTGGATGAAATAATTCATGCGTGTGTCTATGTATGTGCGTGTGCGTGTATGTCTGTGAGAGAAAGAGAGAGAGTGTGTGTGTGTGTGTGTGTATGTGTGTGTGTGTGTGTGTATGTGTGTGTGTCCATGACTGTGTGTGTGTGTGTGTGTGCGCGCGTGTGCTTGAGAGAGTGAGTGTGAGGGAGTATGTGTGTGTGAGAGAGAGTGTGTGTGTGTGTGTCCATTCATTATGATCATTGGCTGATCGTTGAGCTCAGTACCCTAATCCCCACCCCCATATCCCTTCATCCTTCTGGTCACAAGAGATATATCTACCTGCTTCTCGAAAACACATAATGTTCTAACCTCAGAAACAAAAACAGAAGTTGCTGGAAAAGCTCAGCAGGCCTGGCAGCATCTGTGGAGAGAGAAATGTGTTTTTCTTTATTCATTCACGGGATGAGGGCGTCGCTGGCCAGGCAGCATTTATTGCCCATCCCAAATTGCCCAGAGGGCAGTTAAGAGTCAGTCACATTGCTGTGGGTCTGGAATAACATGTAGGCCAGACCAGGTAAGGATGGCAGTTTCCTTCCCTAAAGGGCATTAGTGAACCAGATGGGTTTCTCTGACAATCGACAATGGATTCACGGTCATCAGATTCTTAATTCCAGATTTTTAATTGAATTCAAACTCCACCATCTGCCGTGGCGGGATTTGAACCCAGGTCCCCAGAACATAATCTGGGTCTCTGGATTAACAGTCCAGCAATAATACCACTAGGCCCTCGCCTCTGAAGAAGGGACCCCGAAACGTTAACTCTGATTTCTCTCTTCACAGATGCTGCCAGACCTGCTGAGCTTTTCCAGCAATGTTTGTCTTTTGTTTCTGATTTACAGCATCCATAGTTCATCTCTTTCTTTTAATTTATTTTGATCTCAGACACGTTCAGTAGCAATGAGATCCACAGGCTCACCACTGCCTGGACGAAACGTTTGATCTAAAGAGGTTTCCACCTGCAGGAGGACAGAGGGGCTTAAAAAGAGCAGGAAATGGCCATTCGGCCCATTGAGCCTGCTGCCTACTCTGTACAATTGCTGAAATAACTCCACAGAGGCCAGTATCCCTTTATTTACATATAAACAGTCCTTGACTTTAGTTCTGCTTCTTCAGAATCAAGTGTAACAGTGTCAGAGACACTCCCCTTCTTATGTGTCAGCCAGGACTCCCTGATTGGACCAGATTAACAGCTCCAATCAGGGAACTCATCCTGTGATGTCCAGCTGGCTAACCACTTTACAATTACGATCGGTTTTCTGCCATATCTCCACCTTCCCGCACAATTCCCATCATTCCCTTCGTGTCCAGAACCCTTATCCATCTCACTTTTGGATATATCTTGATGACACAGCAGTGGGGGTTTCCCAGGATTCTCTGAATGGAAACGTTTTCTCATCTCAGTCCAAAACGGCCAATCCCTTTATCCTGAGAAAATGACGTCTCCTTTGAGACTGTCCAACCTGGAGAGCTTGGGGCCCGGGTAGCTGAAGATTTGGTCAACCAGGATGGAGCCGTGGACATCGGGAATGGTCATTAGAAACAGTTCAGAGAAGGTTCACTCGGCTGATTCCCCAGGTGAGGGGGGGTTATCTCAGGAGGGAAGATTGATCCTATATCCCATTGGAGTTTGGAAGGATGACCTTATTGTGATATATTGGATCCTGAGGGGAACTTGACAGAGTGGATGCTGAAAGGATGTTTTCCCTTGTTGGAAAGACTAAAATAGGGGACGCAGTTTTACAATAAAGGAACATCACATTTAAGGTGGAGATGAGGGGAACAGTTTTCCCTGAGGTAGTTGTGTTCTCATAACCTGTCTTCCCCAGAGAGCTGTGGAGGGAGGGGGAGTCACTGAGTATTTTAAGAAAGAGTTGGATAGATTCTTAACTAAGGAGGGAGTCTGGGGAGAGAGGAGGAAAACAGCTAAGTGGAATGAAGACCACAATCAGATATGAATGACTGGCAGCGCAAGCTCTGTGAGATAAAGAAGAGGCAATGGCCTTGTGGTATTACCGCTAGACTGTGAATGCAGAGACCCAGATTTCTGCTAATCCAGGGACCTGGGTTCGAATCTGGCCATGGTGGAATTTGAATAAAATAATAATCTGGAAATAACATCCAATGATGACCACGAAACCATTGATGATTGTCCAGGGTGTGAGAGGTGACCCATCTAATTCACAAGTGTCCTTTCGGGAAGGAAGCTGCCATCCTTACCTGGTCTGGCCTACATGTGACTCCAGACCCACAGCAACATGGTTGACTCTTAACTGCCCTCGGGGCAATTAGGGATGGGCAATAAATGCTGGCCTGGCCAGTGATGCCCTCATCCGTGGATGAATTAAAAAAAAGACCGAATCTCAATCCTAAATTGTACATTGTACTCAATCCTAAATTCAAGAGGTTGAGATCTACGCTGTAGGGATTCTATGATTCTGACTGTCTCGGAAGGTTGTGGGCTGGATGAGGTTGGAAAGGGAATAGCAGAGCTTCGACACCGATGGTGAAAGGGATGGGGGTCATGGGGGTGTGGTATTGGACCAGAGGCCAAACAGGAGCCAATGGGAGGGGGTGTTACAGTCATAGGGCTGGAGGTAGATCCAGAGAGGGTGAGGGTCAAGGTCCCTAAGGGGTTCAGGAGGCAGATTTTAAACTCACCCATAGGTGAGGTATTATTTTCAGACTGAAGATGGGGCAGACATCAGTTTGAGAGATTAACCTGTAACTGTTCTTTCTCTCTGAGCAGTACCTGGGACATGTAGAGGTGGAAGAATCACGAGGAATGCACGTGTGTGAAGATGCAGTGCAGAAACTCAAAGCTGTGAGTATTTCTGACTGCGTTCGTGTTTCTACATTCATTTCAACAGAAAGGGAGTTTCAAAGACTGTGCCCCCCCCTCCCAACAACCCTCAGAGCTAAGAAAACGTTTCCTTATCTCCCCATCAATGGGCAGCCCCTCAGTTTTAAACAGTGACCCCTCTAGTTCTCCATTCTCCCACAAGAGGAATCATTCTCCCAAATCACCTCAGAACTGTTTTATGTTCCTCCTCTCACGTGTGCCTGGTGCTGGCTAACACAGTCTCCGGGATTCCTGGCTGGTCAACGCTGGTAAGTGACTGTTTGAAGTTTGTCTCTCTGTATGTATGGGGAATCTCTGACAATGGCTGAGGACCAGTCCCTGTTTACCCCGATGGAGCACATACCCCATGTCGATGGGCCATAGCTACATAGAAGCAGGAGTGGGCCATTCAGCCCATCGAGTGTGCTCCATCATTCTTTTAGATTATTGGCAAATCAGTTACCTCCGTAACATTCACCTGCACTATCACTGGATGTCATTAGATCTCTTTCTCGCTCTCTCTTTCTGTCTCTCTCCTTTCCTCTGTCTTTTTCTCTCTCTCTTTTTCTCTCTGTCTTCCTCTCTCTTTTTCTCTCTGTCTTCCTCTCTCTTTCTCTCTCTCTCTTTCTCGCTGTCTCTCTTTCTGTCTCTCCTTTTTTTCACTCTCTTTCTCTCTCTCTCTTTCTCTCTTTGTCTTTTTCTCCCTCTCTCCTTTTCTCTCTCTTTCTTCCTCTCTCTTTCTTTCTCTCTCTCCCCCTCCTTTCTCTTTCTTTCTCTCTCTCCCCCTCTTTTCTCTCTACCTATCTCTATTTTTCTCTCTCTTTCTCTTTCTTTCTCTCTCTCCCCCTTTCTCTCCTTCTCACTCTGTTTTTTTGCCTCTCTCTCTCTCTGTGTCTGTCTCTCTCTCTCTCTTTTCCTCTCTCTTTTTTTCTCTCCCTTTCTCTCTGTCTCTTTCTCTCTCTGTATTTTTCTCCCTCTCTCCTTTTCTCTCCCTTTCCTCCTCTCTCTTTCTTTCTCTCGCTCCCCTTCCTTTCTCTCTCTCTATCTCTCTTTCTCTCTCTTTCTCTTTCTTTCTCTCTCTCGCCCTCTCTCTCTTTCTCACTCCGTTTTTTTGCCTCTCTCTCTCTCTCTCTGTGTGTGTCTCTCTCTCTCTCTGAGTCCCTCCCACTACCCAACGGGACTCTGTGTTTACTGGATGCTCACCGGCTGTTGTAAAAAAAAAGCTCAACTTTCTATAGCCTCATCCCGGTTTTGAACTCCCTCCATGGCCCCTTCTCCCTATCCCTATCGCCTCCTCCGGCGTCTCTGTGCTCCTCTTGAGCAATTCCCCTGATTCCCATTGCTCCGCCACTGGTGGGGGGGGAGGGGGGGGCCTGTGCCTTCAGCATTGAGGGTCCTGAGTTCCACAACTCCGTCCCTAACCCTGTCGAGCCATTTTTCCCTCTCTCTATCCGCCAAGCCCTCTTTCCCATCCACCTCTGAGTTAGTGAGCTGTCGCCGTACGGATTTGTCAGTGTGGGTCGGGGTGGGGGGGCTCAGTGTTAAATTTCCTGTGACACCCCTCCTACGGAATGTCTCGAGATGTGTCACTTGGTTAAAGGCATGTCACAGATGGAAACTGACGGTGCGTGGGAGGGGGGAGACTGGGAAGGAGGCTACTTTGTGGCATGAGTCAGAGGTCGTCTGGTCGGGATTTGCTTGTGTGGATCACAGCAGAACAGAACACTGGCTTTCAAAAAGGGCCTGGACTGAATCAGTTTGTCACAGGAGTGTCTGTTTGCACTGGGGGGGCAGGGGGCGGAGGGTATTTAGCAAACAGTGAGACCTCTTATCCTCCACTTACACAAAGGAAGGCACCTCCTGCAAATCCACTCGGTGAGGTTTCTGAGGGATCGTAAGGGACCTGCCCAGAAACACATCCCATTTCAAGGCTGTTCATTAACATTTGAATTCGCCAGATGAATCAGCCCCAAGACCTTTTGTTTCTCTTTCACAGGATGTGGTTGGTGGCAAAGCCAGCTTATCGTCCGTCTCCAAATCTCTTATTTTTTTTCATGTTCCTTCATGGGACCTGAGTGTCACAGGCTGGGCCCAGCTTTTATTGCTTCGTCCCTAATTACCCCCTTTGAGAAGGTGGGGGTGAGCTGCCTTCTTGAACCACTGCAGTCCATGTGCTGTGGGTTGACCCACAATGCCCTTTAGGGAGGGAATTCCAGGATTTTTACCCAGCGACACTGAAGGAACGGAGATATATTTCCAAGTCGGGATGGTGAGGGTTTGGACGGGAACTTGCAGGGGGTGGTGTTCCCGTGTATCTGCTGCCCTTGTCCTTCTAGATGGAAGTGGCCGTGGGTTTGGAAGGTGCTATTGGAGGAGTCTCGGTCAGTCTCAGAGGGTGATTAAGAACCAACCTCGTTCCTGGGGTGGGGGTGAGTCAGGAGTTACATGTAGGAGGGTGGATCAGGACTTTAGTGAACTAGCCAGTGGGTCCCAGAGACTGTCAATGGAACCAGCTGTGGGCTCGATGGAAATGATCCAAATGGATCCTTGAGGAAAAGACTGGCTCCAATGAAGAAGTGACAGGTTTCTGGTCAGAATTATAGCTGGGACAGTCTGTCTGGTCCGGTATCCTGTCCTACAGGAAATGTATACAGGTTTCCATGGTGACCACCTCTTCCACATTAGTTTTGAAAATAGATTCCATGAGGTGTAAACCATCCTTTGTCGTCTGATCATCTCCTTTTTATTGCCCCTCCCCCCTGCCCCCCCCCAAAAATGTGAGGCCCATTTCCCCCTCTCCTTCCGCTCTTTCCCTCCATCACTTTCTTTCCTGTGGTTCTTGAATTCCCACTCAGTCCCTCGCTTTCTCGTTTGCTCTCTCCTTTATTTGCTCCCTCTTTCACACACTTGTTCACTCTCTCCTTCCCGTTCCTGCACTCCTGACTGCTCTCTCGTCCGCTGTCTCGTTCACGCTCTTGTTCTGTCTCTCATTCCCTCTCTCATTCACCCTCCGTTGTTACCAAAGACAGCTCTCTCCATTCTGCTGTCTGTGAACTGAGGTAACAGCTTCTCTCTCACTTACAGTCCCCTGTGCCAACTGGCCAGAGAAGGAGCAAGGTGATCACTCAAAGGATCACGTTTGGAATTTTTGATTTACGAGGTGAACTAGTCCAAATTTAACAGCCTCAGGACGTCCTGCTGTAGGAAGTAGCCCTCAGGCCTCACATTTCTACTGGTGTGGGTTACTGCCAGTGTTTGATCTGATTGGTCTTTCATCAACCTCGAATATATTAACCAATAGCTGTGCTTGTACCGGAGAACCTGTTGGTGTCAAAGTTATCGCCCTCGCATCCTCTCTCCTTCTTCTCTTGTTTTTCACTACTCCCTCTTTTTTTCTCTTCTCTCCTGTCTCTCTCGTTCCTCTCTCTCTCTTCACCTCTCTCTTTCCTTCTCTATTCTGTGTATGTCTCAGTCTGTCTTTGCCCCCTCTCTTTTTGCCCCCTTTCCCTTTAGCCCCCATTTCTCTCTGACTCCGTCTCTATTCTGCGTATGTCTTTCTCTCCTTTTCTCTTTAACCCCTCAATCTCTCTTTCTTGCTCCCCATCTCTTTCCCTCAATGCTAAGTCTCTCTCTCTCTGTCTGTCTCTCTCTCTGTCTGTCTGTCTGTCTCTCTCTCTCTCTGCCCCTCTGTCTGTCTGTCTCTCTCTCTCTGTCTCTTTCTCTCTGTCTGTCTGTCTCTCTCTCTCTGCCCCTCTGTCTGTCTGTCTCTCTCTCTCTCTCTCTGTCTGTCTCTCTCTCTGTCTGTCTCTCTCTCTCTGTCTGTCTGTCTCTCTCTCTGACTGTCTGTCTCTCTCTGTCTATCTGTCTCTCTCTCTGTCTGTCTCTCTCTCTCTTTGTCTGTCTGTCTGTCTCTCGCTTTCTTTGTCTGTTTGTCTCCCTCTCTCTCTCTCTGTCTTGCCTCCTCTCTCTTTACAGTCATACAGGCATACAGCATGGAATCAGACCCTTTGGCCCCACCAATCAAAGGCAACCACGTTTCCAAACTCTACTAGTCCCGAATGCCTCCTCCTGGCCCATATCCCTATGAGCCTTTCCCATTCATGAAGTTATCCAAATGTCTTTTAAATGTTGTAACTGTGCCCACTTGCACCACTCCTCTGGTAGTTCATTCCACACTTAAACCAGTCTCTGTGTAAGAAAAGTTGCCCCTCAGGACTTTTTAAAATCTTCCTCCTCTCACCTTAAAAATATGCGCCCCCTAGTTTTGAACTCTCCCACCCGAGGGAAAAGACCCTCGCTATTCACCTTCTCATGATTTCATGAACCTCATATAAGATCTCCTCTCTCTCTATTTCTTTCCTTTTCTATTTTATGCCTCTTTCTTTATCCCTGTGTCTCTTTAATTCCCTCCTCCCCTTCTGTCCTTCTCTATTCTGTCTCTCTCGGTCTCTCTGGAGTCCAGTCGAGATGCTGGCCAATGTTGGAGTTGCACTGAAATATCTCAAAAGCTCTTGTTGATTGAACAGTGACCAAGTGAAGTCAATATTTTGGTAGAGCTGCCCATGTGCATGTTCAGAATTGATTAAACTCAGGACACTGCACTTGCCTGAAAACTGTTGCAGTTGGTCATTGGATCCTACAGTGGCTACAGTCGTGTCCCAAAGATAGTTCCTTTGTGTTTGTTTTTTGTTTGGTCACATTTACTTAATATCAATGGGGAGGCGATGGCCTAGTGGTACTATCGCTGGACTGTTAATCCAGAGTCCCAAATAATGTTCTGGGGACCCGGGTTTGAATCCTGCAACGGCAGATGGTGGAATTTGAATTCAATAAAAAAAAGTCTGGAATTAAGAGTCTAATGATGACCATTATTGTTTGTCGGGGAAAAACCCAACTGGTTCACTAATGCCCTTTAGGGAAGGAAACTGCCATCCTTACCTGGTCTGGCCTACATGTGACTCCAGACCCTCAGCAAATGTGGT